TTTTTTTTCTTACGTAAATATACAAAATTGAAATTTTTCTTTTTTTTTTTTTTTTTTTTTTCCAAACTATTATAAAATTTGATTTTTAAACAAACGCACGCGCACGCGCACACGAACAATATTTTCCATTCGTGTTTACAAATAATAATAATAATAATAATAATAATAATAATTTTTTTAAATAAATAAAAAAAAAAAATATCGAATATAAACGAATCGTTTCAACGATTTAACCCTTACCATCGTTATTAATTTATAAACAAATAATAATAATAATAATAATAATAATAATAATAATAATTTAAATTTTTATTTATTTTTATTAAAAATAATAACCGACGGGGTATTTTTTTTTCTTATAAAAATTATTTACAATTTTGTAAATATTTAAAAAAAAAAAAAAAAAAAAACTAATTTAAACTGATTTTTGTGTAAATATTATTATGCTGTTGTATAAAAAAAAAAAAAATCGAATTTTTTTTTTTTTTTTTTTATATCATTTGGGGAGGATCAAAAAAATTGACTCCCGATTTATTTATTTATTTATTTGTTAGATTTTTTTTTTTTCCACTTTAAATTAATCGTATACATAATTTTTTTTTTTCGGGTCGATTTAAAACAATATTTAAAAACAAAAGGATTGATATTTATCATTATCATTATTATCATTATTATCATTATCATTATCATTATCATTATTATTATTATTATTATTATTATTATTATTATTTTTGTTTTAATTTAAATGTCGATCGTTTTGTATTTACTTTATGGAGTTTTTCACTGTTCTCAATTTCAGAGAGCCCTTAAATATTAAATATTTTATTTCGGATACAACTATTATTATTATTATTATTATTGTTGTTGTTGTTTTTGTTGTTGTTAATCGTAAATTTTAGCAGACGACGCGAATTCATATACGAAAAAATGAATTTTTATAAATTTTTAAATCCTCGCGTTTTTTTTTTTTTATACAAAAAGAAAAAACGATATCGCGAAAATGTTTATAATCACACATATGAAGTATTTATTATTATTATTATTATTATTATTATTATTGTCACTCTCAAATACGACAAGGCTCTTATTTGTCGGGGTTTTTAAGCATTTATCCCAGGTTTCTACCTGACGATTCCTTAGGGACAAATACTCGAATTTCGGTGGTGCTATTTATAGAGTATTTTCCGAAGAATGTGGAATGTGGAAGAATATGTGTGTATAATAATTATTATTATTATTATTATTATCATCATCATGAATAAAAGGATGATAAAAAAAGAAGGAATTAAAAAATTTAAAAAAAACGTTTTCCAATTGATTTTTTTTTAATAATAATAATAATAATAATAATTTTTTTTAATTTAATAAACATTATTTGGAATTAATTTTTTGTTTAAAAGTCATTAAACGTTTGAGATCTTATATAAATTATAAACGTTTTGATTTTTTGTTGTGGTTGTTGTTGTGGTTGTCGTATATTTACAAACGTATACAAACGTACAAACATATAATAGAGTAAAAATTAAAAAAATTCACATTATAATAATTATCACATACATAATTACAATCGTTACATTCGATACAATGTAAAAATTTTTTTTTTTTTGTTTTTTAAAAAAATTTTTAAATGACGTTTCTCTCTCTCTCTCTTTCACATTTTAAACGTGATATTTGAAATCGTTTGAACGGTTTTTTTTTTAAATAGAAAATTTAATCGTGTCAATAGAAATTAGAAAAAAAAAATGACGACGCACCTGTTATTAACCAAATAAGTATTTAAATTTTTACACTTTTGAAAAAATCAAACAAACAAACAATTTTTTTTTTTTATTTAATAATAATAATAATAATTATTATTATTATTATTATTTTTCTTGATGAATTTTCATAATGACCCAATTATAAAAAAAAAAAATTTGTTTTAATAGTAAAAAAGTATTAAAAAAAAAACAACAACAGGTTTAAACGTGGCGGAAAGATAGACATATTTTACTGTCGGGTTCTTGGAATCGCTATTGATTTAAAGCCTAATGAAGCGAAATATTTACGTAACTACGTGTGCATGTCCTAAAATAGATTTTTTTCTATGCTTTGTTTTGAATCCATCGGCAAAGCAAATGGTGTTAAAAGTTAAAAAGTTGGCAGACGGAAATAGATTTCCTTTTCAAAGATCGTTAGACGAGGATTTCTTTTGATGATAAATTGGAAAGGAAAATAGTTTTCATCAAGTGGGACTGCTTCCGATTTTGATCTTTTACCGATCCGTGGACTAAAAGTGCCGACACACACACACGCACACGCACACGCACGCACTCACGCAGGCAAGCAGGCAGGCAACCGAACAGAAAAAAAAAACTCGATCGTAAAACACCTTGATGTTGTCCCAGTTTTTTTCTTATTCGTTTGTGTTTGACATTCACACCGCGGGCAAACGTAGATGGGATTTTAAAAAAAAAATCGATCGATGGATCGATCGATCGATTGATCGAAATTCGTTTCTACGCTATTTGGGGGAAAAAAAAATTATTATACATCACATTTATTATTACAGTTTGGCCAACTTGTAAAATAATTCACAACCTTTTGCCAAATGAATATAACGAATTCTATTCACGTCAGCCATTTTTTTTTTTTTTTTAAAAAAATTTTTATTTATCGAAAAAAAATTTTTGTTTTGATTTAAATTTTTTTTTTTTATCCGCCGCGCGTAAATGCATTTAAAAAAAAAAAAACAAAAAAAAAAAAAAAAACGGAAATGAAAGACGAGAAATTATTAAGACAGAATTAAAATTTTGAAAAAAAAAAAAAAAAAAAACACAGCAAACCCCAAGCTTTCTCCAACGGTTTAAAAAACTTTAAAATTTCAAATTCCCTTTTTTTTTTTTTATTCGTTTTAACCTTTGGGATTAATTTTAAGGAGAACTTCCGACATTTAATAAAAAAAAAAAATTTTTTTCTTTTTTTTGGGGATCTCTTTGTTTAGAAAAAAAATAAATAAATAAATAAAAATTCATTTTTTTGACTGATGTGAAAAAAAATAAATAAAAAAAAAAATGAAATTAAAACGTTCTCGAATATTCTTCGCGAATATTTAACGTATCAGGCGAAATATTTTGCTGGAAAAATTCTTAGTTGCCTGCCCGATGATATATGATGATGATAACAACGGTCTTATACGTTCGTGTCATTAGGAAAAAAAAAAAAAAAAAATTTACACGAGCGTGGTGGATATGTATGAAAAGAAAAAATAGATATAACAGAAAGATTTAAAATAAAGACGACGACACGTAAAAAAAAAAAAAATAAAATAAAAAAAAGTTTAACCACCTGGTTGGCAAAGGTTCAACATCAAAAATAACAAGAACTACATTCAATAACCGTTAAAAAAAAAAAAAAAGCGGAAATACCACCACCACCACCACCATCATCATCATCGTCGTGCAATGAAATCTACACTCGCGTAAACAATTACACCGAAAAAAATTGTTATTTTATTTAAACTGTTTTTAAATTTTTAAAATAAATTGATAAATAAATGATTAAATGACGAAAATAAAAATGATAATAATAATAATAATAATAAATAAATATTGACGTGGCGGTAAAATATCGTTAAATAACTAAAGACACGTAAATAAATTATACGAATTCGTAACGAAAATCACCCCTGGAATCATCATCATCATCTGGCATACCGAGAATTTATCCAGAATTTTATGTTTATAATTTCATCATCATCATAATCATCATCATTATCATCATTATTATTATTATTATTTTACTAGCGTCAACTGAACGAAGGAAGTTTATAAAATGATCTTTTTTTGTGTGTGTGTGTGTGTCGAAACCTTTGATGTCGATTACGAGTTTTTTTTTTTTTTTTTGTCGATTTCGAATTTAAAAGAAGAAATTAATGGGGAGGGGGTGAGAGAAAAGGGGGCGTCTACCCCTCATTTTTCAAGGCCTACAAAAAGAAAAGAAATTTGTAGTTAATATACTAATTAATTTTTTTTTTTTTCCCGTTCGACCGATCGAATAATTTTTTTTTTTTAAACGTAATTAATCACTTTCGAATGACGTTTTGACAAAAAAGTGTCGTGGAACAAGAAAAAAAATTAATTATAATTTAAAAAGGTTTTCGTGGCATCAATCATTCAAATTTTATTTATTCGTGATATTAAACGTTAACAAGTTTGTAATTAACTTTTCTTATTATTATTTTTTTTTTGAGGGGGGGGGGAGAGGAGGGCGGATCGTGCGACATTTTCTTTTTTCTTTTTTTGTCGAAATTCATTTTCCGTCGGTTAAAATGATTTAAAATTTTAGAATTCCGTTCAAAACGAAAACAAAAAAATTCAAATGATTTCTCATCACGAATATTATTAAGATGTTATTACAACTAATATACTATATCACAATTAATTATTTTTATCAAAAAGTATCAAATTCTTTTATGAATTTTTTTTTTTTTTTTTTTAAATCGAAACCGGAAATCGAATTAATTGGAATGTAATATAATGCCGATTATCATTATCATTATTTATTTATTTTATTTATTTGAACGGTGCGGTGAAATTTATTTTATTAACGATAAAATTATTAATTTTGCAAATTTTTTTTTGAATTTTTGTATTTCGCGGGGTTTTCTATTATAAAATGGCGACGATTTTTTTTTTTATCACCGGAAGTTAAAAAGTAAAAATTGAAAATTGTAATGTTTAATTTAATAATGACGTAGCAGAGTTGATAAGAAGTTTAGTTTTGAGTATTTTAAACGTGTGTGTTCGTTTTTTTTTTTTTTTTTTAAACCGGAAGTGAAAAGTTTTTTTTTTTTGTTTAACCGGCAAAATTACAAAAAAAAATTCTCAATTAAGAATTTGATACTGAACTTTGTTTGTTTGTTTGTTCGAGTTAAAATTTTAATTTAATTATTTTATATTTACCGATAATAATTACTTACAAATAATATCAGTCGATTTTTTACATAAAATATCATCAGGTCAATAAGATTTATGTAAAAGATCACACGATTCCTGTTGTTGGTGATAATAACCGTGAGCATGTGGCGGGGGTCTGAAAGTTGTGACCGCCGTAGCGGTGACGGAACCTGGAGACCCACCACCTCGATATCCACCTCCCGCCGATGTTGATGTGATTGTGGTACGAAAGGCAGTTAGCTGACAACTGGGAGCGTCAAAAAGTTCTCGAAAACTCGTCGCTTCTTCGGAATACCAAGGATTGTGACGAAATTGCGTGGCCGCCGTCGGTGACGGAGACATATCATCTTGTACTTGATTGCTATAGGAATAATATGAATACATGGAACCGCATCCGGGTCGAGGACTTCCGTTACTTCCTCCATAATGAGGAGAATTTCCTTCTCTCGTCGTCGTCGTCATGAGATTATCAACGGAAAAATTACCAGATCCGGCATTGGGACTTTCGAGACCGACACCCGCGTTCGTCACTTCCGATATATGTTCTAATAAAACACCCGACGCGGAAATGTTAGGTTTCACATCGTATTTCCTTATACAGTCTCTCACGTCACTTCCGGGTTCTCTTTTAGGTTTTATATCTAAATTTTTTTTTATATGCGACACGTCACAATTACTAACATCTAATCTTTTCGTTATAGTAACATCACCATGATGCCTTTTGACGGCATCTTCTTTTTCTTTGACCGCATCTTTTTTTTTAAATCTTCTTCTTCTACGCAGATACGAACCGTTATCGAACATGTTATACGAATCGGGATCTAGTGTCCAATAGCTTCCCTTTCCGGGTTTCTTATCATCTCTCGGTACTTTAACAAAACATTCGTTCAAACTTAAATTATGACGTATTGAATTTTGCCAACCCTGTTTGTTTTCTCTGTAGTACGGAAACCGTTCCATGATAAACTGATAGATTCCGTTCAACGTTATTTTCTTTTCCGGTGCGTTTTGTATGGCCATGGCTATGAGGGCTATGTAAGAATAAGGAGGTTTTACCATATCTTTGACGGCGCCGTGATGAAGTTGTTGTTGATGAAGAGGATAAGGGGAACTTGCATATCCGTATCTGGTATACTGTTCGTAAGGATACGCGGCGTTACCCATGTGATGTGCTGCTGCTGCTGCTGCTGCTGCCGCCGCCGCCGCCGCCGCTGCCGCAGAAGACATACTTCCGGTATAACCCGTTCCCGTCGCTCCCGGGTGTCTGTAATAAGCATTTTGTTCACCGAATATAGTATGCATACTTTTAACACTTAAAATCATCTAATTCGATCCCACATTATTACTATTATTATTATTACTACAAATAATTACTATTACTATAATATTTCAATGAAACTTACAAAAAATTATTTCTTTTTTTTTTTTTGTTTTTCTCCAGTGAAAGTGGTAAACTTGAAAACAAATTTCACTTAAAAAAAATAATAATAATAATAAAATCACACAAAATTTGAAAACCGTTAAAAACGACAAAAAAAAAAAAAATATTATTTTAACCTTGATAAAGAAATAAAAACAATAAGTTAAATTTTTTTTTTTTTTATCAAAAGAACGGCCCTCGAATGTTTATATTAATTTTCCCACAATGTTATAGATAACCGTTTGAATAAGAGTAAGTTTTTAAATAGAGAAAAACGCGTATATATCTTATTATGAAACAAAACACACAGAATCGTTTATTATTATTATTCATCAATGATGAAGTGAGAGAGAGAGAGAGAGAAAACCGTTGGTTTGTTTCTTTAACGAACGTTTAGAAAACAGTGAATGAGGATAGGACGTTTGGATAGTATGGGGCGTTCTCTATCATAAAATCATCAACGGATCCAACACATATTCTTGCGCTTATTTTACCTTTTTTTCATCATCATTATTTAATTTAATAACGATCTATGTATAATTTTCAAACTGGAAAATTTTTCCCATTTTTTCCATTTTTTTTTTTTGTTGTTTGAAAATTATATTTATTTTTTTTTTTTTTTTTACTCATTATCATTATCGAATTTTTTAATTAATTTTCTCTGGAAATTTTATTTGTTTATACATGTGTGTACGTGCGCGTGTCGTAAACGAAGGATTTATAAATAAAAATTCCATGATGATAATATTTCTCCAGACGTGATGGGAAAAATTACAAAGCGTATTTAATACATTTTGGAATTGAATAAGGATAATTGGAACCGTAAGAAGAAATATATATTTTATAAAAAAGGAAATTTAAAAACCGTCTTCGTAATTTTCCAAATGGGGTACATTTACAATTCCAGGAGGCGTTTTAAAAACTATATCGTCGCATATAACATGGAGCAACCGGATTTATTCAATTGGGAATCAACAAATGATGAAAAGAACGAAGGCGGAGTCGTTGTCGAAATCCATCAAAATTAAATAAAAAAAGGAAAAAAGGAAAAAAGAAAAAAAGTCTTTTTTATTCGAGTGCGCCTATTGTTTTGGTTATAAAAAAAGGAAAAAACTGGAGTTTCATGTCGACATGGTGTTGTTGTTATTATCGTGAGTCGTCCGTTTGACAATATAAAAAAAAAAAAAAAAAAGTAAACGTCAAATATCGTGACGTTGTATTATTATTATTATTATTGTTTACGGTGTGAATTAATCATTAGGTTAAAATAATCATAATCGAAAAAAAAAATGTTTTATTATTAAATTTTTAATTGTTCTCCTCATAAAATACGATAAATTTATAAAGATATGATAAAATAATAATAATAATAATAATAATAATAATAATAATAAATACGCAAGCGTGAAATACGTGGCAGAAGACAAAAAAAAGAGAGAGAGAGAGAGAGAGAATGAATATATATAATTTTTATTTTTTTTATTGTAATCGACTTGTGGGAATTAAAATTCTCATCAAGTGCTCTTAAGTGAATTATTATTATTATTATTATTATTATTATTATTATTATTATTATTATTATTATTAATTGTGATAGGAAATTTTTTCTAGAAAAAGTTTCTATTCGATTGAGAGAGAGAGAGAGAGAGAGAAAAATGGAAGATAATCGTAACGTTGCATTTCGTTTTTTCACGCGATTTTTTTTTCGATCATTCCCCCTCCTTTCCCTTCCCCGCCCCTGGCCCTTCCCCCCCGTTTTAATACGATTGATTTTTACTTTGTAATGTTTTTAATAAATTCAAAAAAACGTAAATCAATACGTAAATACAAAATGGACGTCGTGTGTGTGTAGTTATTGTATATTTATTTTGGCGAAAAATCATCATCATCATCATCGGGGGCGAAAGGTTAATTTTTTTTTTGTTTACGTTTGTCGTTTGCCGATACTACTAACAAACAATCGGTTGATTAATTGGTTGGTTGGTTGTTTTCATTCATAAAATTTAAAAAAAAAAAATTGGTATTTTAAATTTTTCCCTTAGGTTTTTTTTATTGTGTGTGGTGGTGCTGGTGGAGGTGGAGGTGGCGGTGGTGGTGATGACGTTTTGTCGTCTGCTTTTTTAAAACCTAGGATTTGTTATTGTACGGTGAGAAATTCTAATTTTTTTTTTTTTAAGTTTGTTGTCGTCGCGAATAATTTTGGCGCGGAAACGAGCCGCCATTTTGTTTTAATCCTAATGTTTTTGTGTTTTAAAACAACCGAGTAAACAGACAAACAGGTACTACCGAAAATAAACAAAAATTAATTAAATGTGACGTGGTATGTGCGTGCACGCGTGCACGCCATTTTTTATTTTTTTTAATATTACTTTAGTGTAAAATAATAATGATGATGATGAGAATTTTTCTTATGGGGTTTGAAAGAAATTCTAACTCGCGATTGGACGGATCCCCCCACTTATAAAAAAAAAAATGAAATATTTTTTTATTACTTTACTTTAAAAACCTGTCAAAATTGTCATAGCGTAAAAGAAGAGTGACAGATTGTTACAATAAAAAGGAAAAAAGGATAAAAAGAAAAAAAAAAGGTTTAAAACGTGGTGTTACATGTTTCTGTTGTCCGTTTGTGGGTTGGTTCCCCTCAATTATAACCTCAGTTCAATTATTATTAAAAGTGTGACGGAGGGAGTTATTCTTATCAAAACACACTTGAAAGCTTCTTTGTGGGTTACAATTGAAAAAAAAAAAAAAAAAAAAACCGGTTTACTACTAACCACGTATATAGTCAACCCCGCACGCACTTCCACACGCCACACACACAGAGAGATAATAAAATAAATTTTCCCTTTTTTTTTTTTTCGAGAGTGAGAGAATGAAAAAAAAGTGAATTTTTAGTTTTTCAATTGATTTAAAAAAGAAAAAATTTCATTGAAATATTTTTCAAGAGTTTTTTTTGGGTTTATTTTGCAGACTCCAAAGACTAAAAATTTTTGAAGGATTCAATAGGTGGGAGAACGGGGGGGGAGAGGTAGAGAGAGAGAGAGAGAGAGAGAGAGAGAGAGAGAGAGAGAGAGAAACAAAACCTGGGAAAAAAATTCTTATTTGTAATTTTATTTCTTTTTTTTTTTCATCTTCTTTCCAATCCCCCCCTCCTCCTGCCACGATTGGGAAAACGCGGTTTTTTTAAATTAAGTTAACATTTTCTCCCCAAAAAAAATTAAAAGGGGGGCCATAAAGGGATTCGCAAAAAGAAAAGTTTTTATCAAAATTATATATAACTGTTGAAAGAAAAAGTTAATTGAATTACTTTCAAGTTTTTAATAATAATAATAATAATAATAATATGAGGGTGGTTTCGTTAATTTTATCAAACAACAAAATGGAGGGTGAAATCTTTCTTCGATACAACAACAACAACAACAAAAAAAAAATAATAATAATAATAATTTTTGATCTGAAAAGCCAAACTGAATAAACAACACTCGTGTGTGTGTGTGTGTGTGTCTGGAATTAGCATTTGTTAAAAAAATTTACACAACACTTTGTTATTTGCACTCGTGCACGCTCACACCCCTTCCTCTCCTCCCCCACACAAAAACGTCCCTTAAATTTTCATCCACTTCTTACCCTTAAGAGATTAAAAATTGTTTTTTCAAACGATGATGCGTCTGTCGGTTTTTATCGTTTTCTTTTTAGATAATTTTCCAAAGATTCGATTCGCGATCAGAAAACGAATTTTTAAGGGGGGGGGAGGGAGGGAGGGAGGGGGAAAGAGTTGATGACTAAAAATTATTTTCGGTAAATGATACGAAATGAGTAAAACGTGATGCTGGATTTTTTGCAAACCGTTTAAAAAAAAAAAAAAAAAGAAACCGAAAAAGATTAATAATAAATTTGTCTGTCTGTCTGTTTGTCGGCAAACGTTTAAAACGAATCCTCCTTCATTATAAATAATAATGATAATAATTCGCACGAAGATGAAGGAATGGAGGAGAAAAAAATTCCGACAGGAAGAAATAAAGAAAAAAAAAAAAAAAACGGGGGAGATTATGAAATTTTTATTTTTTTCGATAGAGAGAGAAAGAGAGAAGGAAGGGAGAGGGGAGAGAGAGTTTATAATAATTTATTTAAAAGTAAAAAAAATTTCAACAGGAAAAAAAAAATTGGGGGAGGGGAGGATGATGAAGGAAAGAAATAAAATGGGATCGGGGGAAAAAAAAATGGTGACGAGAATAACGTCTAAAAACTATGCCTAAGGCTTGTAAAAACAAACCGGAAATTGACTGAAAACTCAAAACGTTTTCCCATTGGTTCAAACTTTTCATTCCCTCGTCAACAGGAAAAAAAAAATTTTTTTTTTTCTTTTTCTTTCTTTTCCTACAGCAACGTTTAATTTAACTTTCACACATTCGGTTTTTTTTCCCCTACAAATACCCTACAGGTTTTTTTCATTGAGAAAATGATGAAAAAAAAAAATTTTTTTTTTTTATTTTTCTCTTTCTTCTTCCACGACACTTTTCCCTACTGACAAACGTAATTTATTCGACGGAATATTCTTTTTTTTTTCTCGACGACGACGACGACAGCAGTTTTTTTTTTTCCCGGTTCATTTTTCTTTTCCCACCCCCTTCCCCCCAGCTTTTCTATTACAACCGACAGGAATTCATACGACAGGAATTTTTAAAAAAAAAAAAAACTTTTTATTTAAAATTTTATACAAAAATTTATTTTATCAATTTAACAAAATGTCGATTTTAACAACACGTTTCACTTTATTTTTTTTATATGTAAAATTCACTAAAACATTTCATCACTGACATTTATTATTATTAATTATGAGTAACAAAATGAAAAAAAAAAAAAAAAAATCGATAGTAATAATAATAATATTTATCATGATACAAAAATTTTTTATTTTTAGCCTGAAATTGAATCGATGACCAAAAAAAAAAAAAAAGTCAAAATATATATATATATGTATAAATATATGACGTCATCATTTTTTTCCCCATATAATGAAAATTTAAAAAGAAAATGAAAAAAAATTATCATTATTATTAATTCCCCCCCCCTCCACGAGAATCGATCGATATTTTTTTTATGACGTCATATTTACTCATTTTGTACTTGGTACTACCATTTTTTTTTCTCTTTTTTTTTCATTTTTTTTTTTTTTTTTTCGGGACGCGAATCGGAAAACGGGAAGAGAGACAGAAAGAGAGAGAGAGAGAGAGAGAGAGAGAGAGAAAACACAAAAGTGTAAAAGGGAATAAAAAAAAAAAAGGAAAATTTGCTTTTTTGTTTGTTTGTTGAAATTAAATTTTCACTTCACGCCTTTTCTTTTCTTTCAATGCAACGTCGTTTCCAGGGCGACGCCGCCCCCGAACAAAAAATAAAAATAAAAAATTTTTCCTGGAAAAAGGTACGACGACCGGATTATTACGATAGTGATGATGGTAATAATAATAATAATAATCGGGACGTTTTTTCTTTACGAATAAAGTAAGAAAGAGATAGAGTTAAAGAGAGAGAGAGAGAGAATTAACTACTGCAAAAATATTAGGTACGAACGAAAATTTCTACTGCAAGCATTACTTATTGAGGATACGAGAGAGATAGAGATATAGATAGATAGATAGAGAGAGAGAGAGAGGGGAAAAGAACAGAAGACGGATTGAAACATGAAACTTATTTTTTTAATATTATGTTAAAAGGTTTCAATGACCGGCGGAGTCTCCTTCACATGTAGTTGAAATTAAACCTGAAAATACATTTTTATTATCATTATTATTATTATCATATTTTTTCGCGTTATGAATAAAATTTGGAGGGAAATTTGGGGGCTCACCTGCACAGGGTTTGAGGTAGAGACGATATTATCGGTCCGTACCCGTGAGCGTTGTCGTAGAGTTCAAAGAGAGGAGCTGCGACTAGCTTGTAGTTTTTAGGTACCGCAAACAATGCTGGAATCATTAAAAGAGAGAGAAAAAAAAACAAATTAAAATTATTTTTTGAAAAATTTATTCCTTTTTTTTTTTCTTTTTAATAATAATAATAATAGTTTAAAAAAAAAAAAAAAAACTACAACCAACGAAAACAAAACCTCGTTTTTTTTTTTTTTTTTTTTTTTAAAACGAAACGGCTAAATATATTGTCGAGGGGGAGGGGAAAGGGGAGGGGCAAATTCACAATATTTATTTTTGCGAGAGTGAGAGAGAGAGAGAAAACCATTTATCATTTTTTTTTTTTTTTTTTAAATCACACGCGATGTTATAAATACAATTTTATTATTTTTTAATATTTTTACATTTAACATGCACTTAAACTAATCAATCAATCAATCGATCCATCGATCGATAAATTCTTTTCATTTTCTATAATTTATTATTTTTTTATTTTTACACTTGATCGAACAGTTTTTCTCCCCGTTGTATTTCATTATCATTTTTATTATTATTACTATTATCATCAAATGTGTGTTGCGTTCAGAAGAGAAAGACAGAGAGAAAGAGAGAGAATGAAAGAGAGAGAGAGAGAGAGAGACAGTGAAAGAAAGAGAAAGAGAAAGAGAGAGAGACAGTGAAAGAAAGAGAAAGAGACAGAGACAGAGAGAGACAGAGAAAGAAAGAGAAAGAGAGAGAAAAAGAGAGAGAATGAAATATAAAGTAATCAGAGGTAAAGAAGATACTTAGGAGATTTGACGTCACTTATAGCACACATAATGATAATAATAATAATAATAATAATAATTGAATGTGACAGTATACATATTCATAACAGTCGTTTAAAAAACAATCCGCTCAAAAAAAAATTTAAATTAATAAAATTCGTTCGGTTACATTTTTCATCCACACAAAATTTTTGTCATTTTCCCCTTTTTCAAGTATAATAATAATTATTATTATTATTATTATAAAAGTTAAAAAAACTTCCGCCGGTTGATGGGATAAATCATTTCCTTCATTTTATTATCATATTTTTTACCATGTAAATATCAAATTAATTTTCTAATATTTCAATAATATTAATTAATAACTTTAAACACGATAAAATTCACAGTGGAAAAGCAAAATGCTAACAAAAATTATTTAAAAAATAAAAAAAAAATTAAACTTGATCGTTTGCTTAGATCAAATTAACGGCGACTTTTTTCTTTTCTCTCTGTAACAAAAGCGATTATTTATTTATCTAACGACACGTCGATTTTATATATATATTTAATTATGGTAATAATAAAAGTAAAACAAATTGCACTGAATTTTATACACACCACATATTGAGATTTTCTTTCAAGTTAAAAACAACAAAAAATTTTCTTTTATTAAGTTTAAAATTTAAGTAAAAAAAAAAAAAAAAAAAAAAAAAAAAATTTCCCGTAACAATAAAATTAACAAAAATCCTTCGACTTTTTATACGCTGAAATATCTTTTTTTTTTAGAATTATTATTATTTTTTTTACATTGAGTGTTGTTAATTTTGTAAATTACACAAAAACTTTTTTTTTTTTCAAGATTTTACATCTTTTATTTCGTCCCTTTTTTTTAAATTGATGGGGGCCACCCTTTAAAAAAAAAAAAAAAAAAAAAAAAAAAATTATTTGCAAACAAATACATTGGTATACAGATCTCGCGAGGGATTTTAAACGTGGCGGATGACGCGCGTGTCACGATCAATTGACATCCCCAATAAAAAAAAAAAAAAAAAAAAAAAAAAAAACTTTTTCATCCCAATGTGAATACATTAAATTAACATTACAGTTCAGAAATTTTTTTTTTAAACATAAACCCTTGTGTGTAAAACAATTTTTGTAAAAATCGTTAAAAATAATATTTTCATTTTTAAAACAATCGTTCTTACATACGTACGCACAACAGCATGTATGTAAGAGCGTGAATACAATCATACATACGCACAGACACAGACACACACGCACCCACGCACACGCAAACGTATATGCGTGTTTGTGTGTCTGTGTGTGTGTGTGCGTATGTACACAAATAACAATATGAAAAACAAAAACAAAATTTTTTGGAGATTTATAAATATATATAAATAAAAAAAAAAATGAAAATAGTAATAATAATAATAGTAATTAAAGAAAATAAAATAATAATAATAATAATGATAAAAAAAAAAAATAAATAAAAATAAAAAAAATAAAAATAAATAAAAAAAAATTGTCATAATCTTGTTTCTTTACCCTTTTCAGCGAGCTGGACGAGGAATAACCTTTTGTGTTCCTTCGGCTTTGTCACGTGCGGAGGAATGTACGGGTACTGCGGAGGTTCAAAATTTGGTCTCCACCAATTTCCGATCGTGTCTTCAATAACCCACTCCTGCTTCACTCCATCCTGACGGCCTAATGTCTGCAACCAGCACTCTTAAACTCTAAGGCGATTTGTTCAAAGGTACATATCCACATTTACATATTATTTTTAATTAGACGGTTATTTGTGTCTCAATTATTTTTCATTATTTTTTTTTTCGCACAAAAAAAAAAAAAAAAAGATAAAAAAAGATAAAAAAAGAAACACAATTAGTTTGCCATTCGTTTACTATTAATATTATCGTATCATTAATGATAAGTAAATGTTTTGTGTGTGTGTGTGTGTGTAAGTGTTTGAGTGAGTGTGTGTGTGTTTGTTTTCGTTTGTATCGCTAGTACACAATAACAAATGAGGACAGTTTTTCTTTAAATGAGGTAATATTGGACAAAGTATTAGAGTAATAACTTAAATTAATAACATCATCATTAACGTTGCCACACAACTATGAATAATAGGCCTTCTTCTTTTAATAATAACGTAAAATTCAAACAGGTATAACAACAAAGCATACATAATTAAATTAAATTTAAAAATAATAATAATAATAATAATAATAATGATGATGATGATGGTGATGACGACTCGATGGGAAGTGAATTGTAAATCGTTAATTTGATAAACAATTATTTCAAATGAGACTAGATATATATAATACATCTAAAACACATGATAATAATAATAATAAGGGATTTGAAAATATATGGATTACAAAATGTCACTTAAGTAAACAATATTAATTATGATGTTTAAAATGAATGACTTTTTAAGTAGTAGTAGTAGTAGTAGTAGTAGTGGTGGTGGTATTATTATTATCATTATTAATATGGGAATAATATTTTGTAATATACCAAAAAAAAAAAAAAAAAAAAAAAAAAAAAAAAAAAAAAAAACGCTTTCCCGGGGGGTTTTTTATACAGACATTTTTCCCCTTTTTTTTTTTTTTTTTGTTTTTTTTTTGAAAAGTTTGTTAAGACAATTTCCCTTTAAAATTACAAAAATAACTTACAAAGCCGGGTCCAAAAATTTTCCTTTTAACATAATTTAAAAAAAAAAAAAAAAAAAAGAAAAGAAAAGTAAAGAAAAATAGGGGGGGTAAACCTGATAAAATTTCAAAAATAATAGGGGGGACCTTTAAAAAAAAAAAAAAAAAAAAAAAAAAAAAAACTGTTTGAATAAAAGGCCTTAATCGGATGGTGAATTTTAAATAATTTATATATATAATAATAATAATAATAATAATAATGGTATTATTATTACCATTGCGCACACAAAAACATGGGTTTTACCGAATAGAAACATCATCATCATCATTTCCCTTCTCTTTGCATACATGCACATATATGTAAATATGCATGCATGTATGCATTGATGATGATTTCGAATAAAAAGTTTTCAAACATTTTTTTTTTTTTTAAAAAAATTATTTACAAAAGAAAATTTTTACCTAAATAGGAAAATGCTCTTGTTTTTATTTTAATGTTTTTTTTCACATTCAGTAAAACTCATGTGTAATGCATCATCATTATTGCAAATTCAAACTAAGACTTGAAGATTTTACACAGGCTTTTAAAGAAATTGTCGATTATAAATTAATTTTTTTTTTTTCCATACACAGTATCATATTTGATTAATTTTTTATTTATTTTCCCTTTGGGGGTTTTTTTTTTTTTTTTTTTTTTTTGTCAAATAAAAAACTAATCAAATAATTATTATAAACAAATTATTATTATCATCATCATCATTGAGCTTAATCAGTGTTACAGTTATTCGACACAAAGATATTATATTCTTAATAATAATTTTTTTTTTTTTTTTACGTACATATAAATTAGGAAACCTTTTTTTTTTTTTGTTTTGTTGCTTTTTAAACTCAATATATATGAAGACATTTTGCTTTTTTTTAAATTCGAAAATGAGCTTTTTTTTTTAAAAAAAAAAAAACTGAATCAATAGTTTAAAACAGATGTTGAATTAAATTTAAAAACAAAGATAGATTTAACTAATAAATAGTATTTCATTTAAAAAAATGACAATAAAGTATAAAGAAAAAAAATAAAAAAAAAAAAATAAAAATAAATAAAAAATAAATAAACATAGTGGCCATTACGATAAACATGTAAAAAAGATAAAATTGGTGTAAAAAAAAAATTAAAAAAAAAAATAGTCATAAAAGAAAAATAATAATTAAGGAACGAATACATTTTAAATACATTTGCTTAAGCAACAAATAATATATATACAGTCATTTGCATAGCTTAAGCTTTTTTTTTCTCTTTAAAAGGTTCTCGTGAAACACATATAAATTATTATTATTATTATTATTATTATTATTTTTTTTTTTTTTTGTATATATAAAAATATTTTTTTTTTTTTACAATCTTCTTGAGTCTTATGGAATACATTTCATTTCTTCAGGTTCCCTACATACCAAAAATAGTATGTAAAACTAAAATAAGAGCTACAGTTAGATAAATAATATTAAAAAAAATCTCACCTCTGTTAATAATCGTCTTAGTCCCTCAACTTCATCTTCACCAGGCCTTAATTCACCTCCTGGCCTACAATACACAAAAAAAAAAAAATTAAATTAATTTTAATAAAAAAAAAAATGTCTGCCTTAGTTTTGTTTGTTTTTAATTTCAACTTACAATTTAAAAAAAGTGGTCCCTAACTGTAAAAGCAATACATGAGGCAAGCCATGCTCGTGAACTAATAAAACACCTTCCACACTTCTTCTCATACCGATTTTTTCAAATTCATCTCTCATTCTTTGGAATCTAGCTGGTACCGATGGATCTTTTTCGAAAAGTGGTTCCTTAGAACCAAATGTGTAGTTTGTTAAAGGATACCTGATGAATATAAATAGACACCGGTGAAGTAACAATAAAAGGTTTATGTATTAAACAATTATGAATGTTCTGTATAAGAAGTTAACGTATAATCAATTAACTTAAATTATGGTATGCATTTAATGTAAAACAATTAACCTATGCAATGATTAAATATATAAAAAGAAAAAGGATGCTTTGTCTCAAAAAAAAAAATTACGGAACCATCATGGCGTGCATAATATAGAACTTACAAGTTTACAGTACGAATAAGCGTCAATGTTTCTGGACCAAAACCTTTAGATTCAAACGTTGCATTTTGTGAAGAATTCCTTCTAGGCCAACCAGTACCAACAGACGGCTTCATGGGTTGCGGAGCGGCCGCCGTAGCCATAATTTTTTTTAAATATAAAAATAAAATTAATAAGTTTTTTTATATAGAAGCGACCCACTCAAAGCAAAGCCAATAAAACTACTTCCACCTCTCAAAGGAAAGAGATGACGCCGAATTCAGTTAATTACACTTTTTCCTGCCACGACATTTACGGTTATTTTTAAGTTTTGAAATACACGGGAAATTTTTACGGGAAAAATTATTATTATTATTATTATTATTATTATTTTTTAAATATTTATTTTATTTCTTAAAAAATTTTACAAGTTCAAAATATATACTAAATAATTCACTTTAAACTTTCCAATACGTTATTGGTATTTGTTAATTTACTAATAAGTGTTTCTAAATAATCAGTTTTTAAATAAAAATTTTCTAAAAAAATGTTCAGTTGAATTTGTGAGGAGTCCAGTGTTAAAATTGAGTAAATACATTTATCTTTTATAGAAAATCTAAAAAAAAAAAAAAAAAAAAATTAATTATTATGCATGTTAAGTAATTATCAAAAATTAAAATTTTTTTTTTTTACCTACAGTTTCAGTAAAATAATTCCTATTAAATTCCATTCAATCGGTTTAAATGTAATATTATGAGGAGATAATTTAAATGTTGTAATCATTTTTTTTATTTCATTCATAGGTAATGTGTATTCAGTAGAAAATAATCTGAAGATTTCTGGCAATCTGAAATGAAACAAATTCAATGAAACAAAGCTCACAATTATGGAAAAAAAAGAAGAAAAGTTACAGTAATATTTACATTTTATTAAGTTTTGACAGTAAAATATTCTGCCTTAATGTATTTTGTGATTGAGAATCAATCAAAGGTAAGTAAACACTATTACTGGTTTCTTCCGTTACATCTTTCTTATTTCCATTATCATCATCATCATCATCATCATCATTGCCTTTTAATGATTTTCCTATTTGAAATTCTCCTTTATAAAATGCTTTTACCTTTATATTAATTTTCTTACCCTCTTCTTGCAGAGCTGAATAATCTGGCAATGGTTTTAAATTTGTTTTCGTCAATTCATCATTAAACACATCAGTTTCGAGTAATCCATACAATTTTATTATTTTTTCAATTTTTTCAGTCGATGTCGTTTTAGAAAGTTTCGAATTCAAAATTTCTTTCAGGTTATCATAATTATTGTGAAATAATTCTTTTAGTTTTTTTTCACTGTGCAAAAAAAAGAATGTGTCAATGGTAAACCATTCAAACATGGTGGCTTCTACTTTTTCAATACCTGTCATACAATTTCTAGTGTCCTCTAATTGACGACTTTCATTATAATTCAAATTTGTTTCTTTTACATTAGACAAAACATTATTGTCTAAATTGTTGTTATCCTTACTTAAAACTTTTGGGATATTAGAATCATTTAATTCTTTATCAGTTTCAACATTATTCAAAACATTTATATTTTCTTTAATTACAATACCGAAGGTGTCTGATGAGTTTTTTACCTTGACAGTATTTGAATGTTTTGAAATTTGAACAGGTTCTTTTGTCTCGCACTCTTTTTTCGCATAAATTTCATCATCACATTTTGCATTAAAACTAGTACTAGGTATTTTATCCACCGTCGACTGTGATTCATTTAATGGAGAAAAATCATTAATGGTTAAATTACTTAAATTTATGTTAAGTTTAAAATTATCCTCACGATTTGAATTTGTTGGAGCCATTTTTTTTTCATTATCACAGTTAGCAGATTTCATTAATGTGTAAGTTGGAATCAATTCTTGATCTCTAAACCACAAAGGACTTGTGAATAATTGATTTTTAACAAACATTGCAGATTTGTAACATAAAGAAGAACAGAAATTTTTTCTTTGGGTAATATCGAAAACTCTATTATACTTAGTCGAAATATGAAATTGTTGAGTCAAGATATTTTTTAATTCATTATCACAGAGTGGGTAACCACATATTTTTGAAATGCTACGTTCGATTGTTACATCTTCAAAATGTGATTGATTGATGTGCTGAAGCTTAAAAAAAATTTATCATTAAAAAAAAAATTGTCAAAATTCGAGCCTACAAGTTTTAAATTACATACATTATCTAAAAACCATTGTTCATCAATTTTTAACTCGCAGAGCATTTCGACTATTTTTTGAGCTTTAGCATTTTGTTTTTTCTTTTTCTCCAATGTTTCCTGAAGTTCTTCTTTGCTAAAAAAAAAAAAAATTCAAAACATATTTTCACTTACTATCGTAAGTAACTACCTTTCTTCACCTGTCATTCCGGTATCGAATTTTATTACCTCATGTCTTTAATACTTTTAGGAATATTTTTTTTCTTTGATTTAGACGCCATAATGGCAATTAAAAGGATTTAAAAAAATTTTATCTCAATATTTTGGTTTTAATTTATGAATATTCAAGTTAAATTGAAATGTTAAGTTGTTGAATTTGAAAACCTGCAGGCAATTGGCAGACATTGTTGTTTACAATTTGAGAAACAAGTTGTCTGCGTACACGTCAACTTAGGTGTAACGATTGTTCGTAAAAATTAATTTTCAATAACTATAATTATTATTATTATTAAAAATTTTTATTTATACATTTAATTTTTTCGTTTTAATATTTCAGAAATTGGACCGTAAAAATTAATTTTAGTTTCTTTTCTATGAAAATGTCTAATAGTAGTAGGAGGTCAAAATTTATTACTTCCAAGAGAAACGATTGCGGTTATTTAAAAGATCATTTGAATGAAGTCCAAACACTGCTTAACAATGTATTAACTCCTGTGATTCATAAAATATCCGTTTTAACCGATATGGTTTCATCACTACTGAGCCTTATCAATGTGAAAGAAGTTACTGATGCAAATAAGAAGGGTAAAAACTACGATTGCGGAGGTGCTGGCATAGCGACCGACGTTACTATGATTGCCAGTAGTGTGCACAGGCTTACTAAAAACTATGAAATTATTAAAGAACAAGTAACGGAAAATAAAAAAAATATTGAAAAATTTTATCGTAAATTACAAAACGTTGAAAAGTTATTGATAACATTTTTGAAAGCAGAAAACAATCGAGATGTTAAAAAGTACGAAGAACAAATATTGAAAAAATTGTCAAACGTAGAGAAATTACTCTTGGGAGAATTAGTCGTCAATCACAGTGTCGGAAGGTAAATGTTGTATGTTATGTATGTTCGAATATGTAAACGATAATAACACAAATTTTTGTTTAGCTTTCAGGCAACTGAAAATATGAAACCGTTTCAAGTTAGTGCATCAGTAGCTTTAGATTCGTCATTACAACTCATCACGTTGAATACGGAAGAAGACTTTCCCAACGGGTCGTGGTTGGGAGATGTATCGTGTATAAAATATAGAGTTAGATCTCCGATACCAGAAGAGTTAGTTACAATCACATTTTATATATTTATTTCATTTAATTTTTTTTTCCTACCGTCTAATAACAATTTATTTTTTTTTTTTTACTCCAGAGATTTAATTTACATCAACACGACATGTGTAACACCTGAAAAAATGGCTTTAACATTATTGGATTATTTATTTACAAGAGATATATTAGCCGTTTCAAATTTATCGGGAAAAAGTAAATTAGGAAAAAAAAAATTAGATCCATTAATGGTGAGAAAAAATGTTTTGATTTCATTTATTTAAGATAAAAAAAAAATAAAATAAAATATTTTTTTTTTTGTAGATATACGGTATAAAATGTCATTTGTTGCATCATTTTAAAATAAGCGAAAAACAATGGGAAAAAATAAAATTAAAAA